GTGTGTGTGTGTGTGTGTGTTCTGTGATGGATTGGCGCCCGGGGCTTGCTGGGAGAGCCTCCAGATCCCCCACAGCCCTGTGCTGGAATACAGTAACACCCCCAGAAGGCTCCACAGCCGAAACGTTGTGTTTCTTTCCTTCAGCCTGGAATAAACCTGCACTCGTTCCTCTGCTGACGCAGCGCCCCACCCGTCATAAAGTAGTATTATATAGCGTCTTTCAGGTCAGGACATGTCCAGGGGGCTTCACGGTGAGGATAACACGCCCACAGGTGTGGGAACACGCAGGCCCATGGTCACGGGTTTATAGCGAAGGTTCGGGGGGGATGACCACAGGCCTGTTCGCTGAGCCCCAGCTGGCGGTAATTCTCCATCCCTCCTCGCCTTACCGGACGCGACCGCCTTCTCTCCCTCCTGCACCCCGACCCCACCTCTGCAGCCGCCCCTGGGCCACCCCTCTCTCTGCAGGGGGGGTCCCAGCCTCCTCGTCCCCTGCCCCCCCAGCCAGGAGGGTTCAGCCAGAGGTACTGTGTCTGAAACACTCCAGGAACCTTCCAGTGGGCTTATACTGCTCTTGTCCTCGGTCACAGCAGCTCGGGCGTCTCGGCAGTACGGTCTCGATCTTCCGCTGTGCCTAAGGCTGCGACAGCTGTGCCACCCCCCCTGGGACTTGAACCCGCAGACCTCCCAAAGAATCTGGAGAGGCCTGACCTCTCTACCCATCTGCTGATGCAGATAACCCTTTCCCCTTTCGTATGCGTGCCCTTTCTGTGTTTTTTTCCTCTTCTTTTTTATGTATTTTCTTTATTTTTGTATTTTCTTATGCCACGCCATTGCACTTTCATTGCGTGGGTCAGATAAACGGAACCGGGCTGTGCGTGTGAACCGCCCCTCCCCGCGCTTGGCGGCGGTTTCTGAGAGCCGGCCGACAGGCGCAGCTCCTCTCCTCCCCCCGGGGGTCTCGACACGCAACCTGCAGGCTCTTCCGGGTTGGCCTGCACGGAGGGCCCGCTTCCTGATCGTAGTGCTTTTCCCGCCCGTGTGACGTCAGCCCTTGCCAGTACTAAGTGCGGGCAGAGCAGGCGCCCCCTGCGGGTGACGTCATTTCCCCATGACAACGAAAGAGGAAGCGCTCGCCGCGGCTCGTCCGTGTCAATGTGGGTCGGAGAGAGAGAGACCAGCGCCGGCGAAGTTAGAGCAACAATTACAACAAACAAACCGGCGATCGCTCCGCTGTAGCCCTCTCTACCCCCTCCCCCCCGTCCACCGCGTATCGCCCCCCAAAAAAAAAACAAGGAAAAGGGGGGAAATTAAAACAAAAAGACCCTAAAAGTTTCTCGGCGGCGCCGCTGGCTCGCTCGCTTCTGTGACAGACATGGGGGTGAGTCTCCGGTTTGAACAAAGACGCGTGCTGTCGCCGTGTGTTGCAGTGTGTGTGTGTGTGAGAGAGAGAGAGGAGGGAGGGAGACGGGGGAGTGGAGCAGCGAGAGGGGGAGAACGGAGCTCCTGCTCCTAAGCTGTCCTCCGACTGCCTCCTCCTGCTCGCCCGCCTGTTTTCGGCGTTTTTCTGGTTTAAGGGGAAACAAAACCCCAGCCCCACACACACAGACACACACAGACACGTCCTCGAGGCTCGCTTTGCGTGCGCGTGTTTCTTGCGTGGCCGTGGGTGGGGTGAGGCGGGGGGCTTCCGCACTAGGCCGAGGGCCGGCCGGCCGGCCGGGTGCGTCCGGCGGCTCTCCGAGCTCAGGCCCGCGGTGCTGAGGCTATCGTGCATTCCGGGGTCGCGTTGTGCGCTCTGTGCGGGCTCTGGGGTCACCCTCTCACCCTCCCCGCCCCCCCAACAATGCACGCGGAGTCCTCGTTCGACCCTGGCCCTGCCTCTGTGTGCAGGAGACTGACTGAGTGAGCGAGCGAGTGGCCGACCGGTCAGTGGTCAGTGCCGCTGTGAGGGACGGGGTCAGGCGTTGGGCAGGGGCGAGTGCTGGTGGTCGGCTGTCACCGGCGTGCAGCGGGGGTGATTAACAGGGAGATGCGGTGGCCATGATGCGCTGACCCCCGGGCTCGGGCTGGCCGGGACTGGTCCACGCTGACCCCCGGGCACGGGCTGGCCGGGACTGGCCCGCGCTGACCCCCGGGCACGGGCTGGCCGGGACTGGTCCGCGCTGACCCTCGGGCTCGGGCTGGCCGGGACTGGTCCGTGCTGACCCTCGGGCTCGGGACTGGTCCGCGCGGAGTCGAGGCGCTGGCTGTGGGGATCTGGTACAGAGTGACCCCACGGGACCTGGGTGCGAGTGGGTGTCTGTGGGCTTCCAGAGCGTGTGAAGGAGCCAGACTGGGGTTCACCTGTCTTCCTCTGCCCCCCCAGAGGAAATCGAACAAGGCGAAGGAGAAGAAGCAGAAGCGTCTGGAGGAGAGGGCGGCCATGGACGCCGTGTGCGCCAAGGTGGAGGCAGCCAACAAGGTCAGAGGGTCAGGGGGTCAGGGGGTCAAGAGACAGGAGAGGGGCGTCGTCCAGCACACACCCTGCAGCAGTGTGTGTGGCAGAGCAGCCAGGCCAAGGAAAAAATGTGCACAAGCTCACACACTAGCATACACACTGACTCGCACACCTGCACAAGCGTGCATACACACTGACTCGCACAC